TATAGGGTTTATAGGGTTTATAAGGTTTATAGGGTTTAAAGGGTTTAGGGTTTGGGGCTTGGGGTTTAGGGTTTGGGGCTTGGGGTTTAGAGTTTAGGGCTTACGGCTTGGGCTTTGTTTTGCAGGGAATCAACCCCAAAGCCCTCAAAGCTTGCACAGGCCAACTGGACACTCCACACAACTCCTCAAAAAAAAAACTGCAGAGCGAGAGGCCAGGTAGGAGTCTCCATATCCGTAGGCTGAAGTCACTCCTGGCGTGGCTTTTGGAGCTTATCTGGCTGGTTCTTAAGGGTATATATGTACATATACATATGTATATATATATATGTAAATGAATATATATATATATATATACATATATATATACATACATACATACATATATATATATATACGCATATACATATATATATATATATACATAAAGCCCGAACTCCCCCATTCCTTACTCAGAAGCAGGGGGTGGGGGGTTGTTTAGCGTTTGGGGTTTACAGCGTTTAGTGTGAAGGCCTCGGCAGGTTGGGTCGAAGCCTTTTAGGGCTTAAGGTTCAGGGTTCAGGGTTTACGTAGGGTTTAGGGTTTAGGGTTGAGGGTTGAGGGTTGAAGCCCTTGATCCCAGTTCGCGTACACGATCGAGTGGGTTCATGGCGTTATATGGTTCCTTTCTGGGACCGGGTTAAAACAAAGGCACCCTCCCTCCTTTAGAGAAAGTAGAAAAACGCACCATACCCAAAACGCTGCCCGAGTGTGGGGACTGCAGATGTCTTTTCGTCCTTGGAGCTTAGCCGTTGTAACCTAAACACATACTAACATTTAGGAGCAGCAGCAGGTGTTGAAGCCAAAGGCCTAGGTCTATACATTCCTCTGATCGAGCTGCAGAAGAAGCCTTGCACTTGTTGATTTATTATTGGGGGTTTGCGACAATAAATGGCCCCTAATATAGATGCCCCCCCCCCCCCCCCCAATAGCAGGATCCTGTTTAGGGTCAGCGGAGCGCGCAAAGGCTGGAATCTAAGAAGGCTTTGGCCCCGAAGATCAGAAGACCCAAGCCCCATGCAAACCACGCCTACACTGAACCCAGCCCAAAGCCCAACACAAGCAAAGCAAACCCCCGAACTCTACATACGCAAAACTCTCAGCGATACCCTAAACACTAAACCCTAAACCCTGACCCCTAAACCCTAAATCCTAAACCCCAAACCCTAAACCCCAAACCCTAAACCCTAACCCTGAACCCCAAAGTCTGTCCCCCCTGGAAGGGACACCTCGGAAGTCGTTCATGACCTCGGCTGGGGCTGAAGTGTGGAGCGGGGTTCGGGTTTCAGGGCTCGTGACTCAGGAGACTCTGAGGCTCCAGCGCCTTGGGGAGGATTGAGTTGGGGTTTAGGGTTTAGAGGGTCTAGGGTTTAGGGTTTAGGGTCTAGGGTTTAGGGTTGAGGGTCTAGGGTTGAGGGTTTAGGGTTAAGGGTTTAGGGTTGAGGGTTTTGTTTCTGGCGCCTGGGGCGCGTCGAGGCTGCGTGCCAAATCACGACTCCCACCACAACAGAATTGAATATCGGAAATATCCCCAGAAGTTTTCCAAATCTTCCGGGCATTTGATCGGGGGACTGTTCTCTCTAGACTGACGCCCCACGGCGCAGGGATAACACAGCATGAAGTACAACAATCGCAAACTTGTTCAAGGGCACATCAGAGATGCGCGAGCAAATGCCCAATGAAGTGCACCATGAAGCTAGGCATGAGTACATTGGATGTTCGGGAAATCGACGAAGCAAATAGAGTTCGCCAGTACAAAGACTCGTCAGCATGGTGTGTGTGGGTCGGTGTGTCAGTGCGTCAGCGTGTCAGTGTCAATGTGTTCTTGTGTCCCTAAACCCTAAACCCTAAACCCTAAACCCTAAACCCTATGTGTTCGTTTCAGTCATGTACGACTGTTCCGTCTTCTCCAGCTTTGTTGAAGGATAACACATTTCGGCACAGCAGCAATATAGTCGCCATGATTACTAGGCAGCACATTCACCTTTCAGAGACCCAACAGCACAGCTTCCTGTAATCCCACAAAAACCCCAGGGTGCAACCTTAGGGGTTCGAAGTAGAGCTCCATCCTAAACCCTAAACCCTAAACCCTAAGCCCTAAACCCTAAACCCTAAACCCTAACTTCGCCTCTGTTTCCGGTGTGGCCATAATATGTTTGATCGTCTCCTTCCGTTCCGAAATTATGCCTTATTGGAATCTTTATTGTAAGGGGATCCTACAATTTTGGGGATCTATATCCTACAATTTTGGGGATCTATATTGGGGGTCCCCTTTTTGACGTAAAACCCCCATGTCCTACAGGGGCTAAACCCTAAGCCCTAAACCCTGAACCCTAAACCCTAAAACCCTAAAACCCAAAACCCTAAAACCCTAAAACCCTAAGACCCTAAGACCCTAAAACCCTAAAACCCCTAAAACCCTAAAACCCTAAAACCCTAAAACCCAAAAACCCCAAAACCCCAAAACCCTAAAACCCTAAAACCCTAAAACCCTAAAACCCTAAAACCCCAAAACCCCAAAACCCCAAAACCCTAAAACCCTAAACCCCCAAAACCCTAAAACCCTAAAATCCTAAAACCCCAAAACCCCAAAACCCCAAAACCCCAAAACCCCAAAACCCTAAACCCTAAACCCCCAAAACCCTAAAACCCTAAAATCCTAAAACCCCAAAACCCCAAAACCCCAAAACCCCAAAACCCTAAACCCTAAAACCCTAAAACCCTAAAACCCTAAAACCCTAAAACCCTAAAACCCTAAAACCCTAAACCCTAAAACCCTAAAACCCTAAAACCCAAAACCCAAAACCCTAAACCCTAAGAGTATACAGGAGGAGGTTCCTACAGGAGCCAGGGGGCGCCAAGCGCGCCGTACTTGCAGCGCTCGAAGGGCTTGGCATGTTCGTAGGTGCCACCGAACCTTGGGAGGGCTTAGGGGCTTAGGGCTTAGGGTTTAAGGGTTTAGGGTTTAGGGTTTAGGGTTAAGGGTTTAGGTTTAGGGTTTAGGGTTTAGGGTTTAGGGTTTAGGGTTTAGGGTTTAGGGTTTAGGGTTTAGGGTTTAGGGTTTAGGGTTTAGGGTTTAGGGTTTAGGGTTTAGGGTTTAAGGTTCAGGAAGCTCGAAAAGCCGTTCCGAACACAACCTCCCGAAACTCACCCTAAACCCTAAACCCTAAACATCCCTAAACCCTAAACCCCTAAACATCTCTAAGCCCTAAACCCTGAACCCTAAACCCTAAACCCTAACCCTCAACCCTAAACCCTAAAGCCCAGTTGCTCCCCTGATCTCCCATTGGCTTATTGGCCCCTTCAGTCAGATCACAGGGTTTGGTGTTCAGGTCTGAGGGTTTTGGTTTCATGGGTTTGTGGTCGAAACCATCCTAAACCCTAAACCCTAAACCCTAAACCCTAAAGCCCCGTCTCGCCGGGTAGCAGTTCCATCTCCCACCTCTTGCGGATGTCATTCTTGCCTTGAAGGGTTCTGTGGGTATTTTGTTTGGGGCCATGCCCCGAGGCTCCAAGTTTAGGGTTTAGGGTTTAGGGTTTCAGGTTTAGGGTTTAGGAAGTTGCTGCAGGGGCATTTGGCAGGCTCAGGGAACTCTGCAACGCCCAATTTACCGAAATGAAGTGACTGTCAGAACTACAGTAACACATGGGGCTACGCGAGTTCGCAAAGCATCTCGGAGGGCCAGCTCTCGCTTTGTGAAAGTCTTGGACTTAGGGGTTTAGGGTTCATATAGGACCGAATCAGGAAACCAGCATACAGGGTTGCAAGCACCTTTAGAGTTACTTAGGAACGTTAATTCAGCTGCCCTACTGACAAACCATCCCCAGTACCCCGTTTTTTACCCAAAATTGTCTAGAATCCCCTTTGACAAGGAACCCTAAACCCTAAACCCTAAAACCCTAAGCCCTAAACCCTAAAACCCTAAACCCCGCTCCCCTCCCAAGAACAATAGGCCCCCCTAACGCCCCACGTAACAGCCCTGGGTGCGAAGCTCCGAAGCCAAAAAGGTTACGGTTTAGGGTTTAGGGTTTAGAGCTCGTTTGTCCAAGGCGCTGTCCAGCGCCCCGCTAGAAGTGCCAGTCTCAAACTGGCCTGGAGCAAGAGGACCGAAAACCCTAAACCCCAAAGGCGTCAAACTAGACAGCCCTTTGGAGAGTACGTAACACCAACTAAAAGACCCTTTAGGGAGTCGGCAACCCCAACAAAAAACCTTTAGGGAGTCGGTAACCCGAACTCAAAAGCCCTGTAGGGAGGAGGTAGCCCCTTTGCGAAAACTCCTCAAGCCCTTCGAAACTTGCAGCCCCTGACCCTCAATCCGGAAGTCTTTGGGCCCTAGGGGTTGCTGCTGGAGATGTCGTGTCTAGAGTTTCCAGCAGGGATAGGGTTCAGGGTTCAGGGTTCAGGGTTTAGGCTTTAGGGTTGAGGTTTCCAGCAGGTATGTCTCCTCTCCCCAACAGGGGTGACTTTGAATGGGCTCTAACATTCGGATTGCAAGTCGCAGACAAGGAGCCCTGTGGACAATCGAAGGTCCATGGCTACTTGAAGGTTCATGGGTAGTGACAAGAAGGGCGAAAAGTACCCGAAGCAGGGTTCTAAGTATAGTGACCCTGCTTCTAACGACACATATAGCTCCCCATGAACCTCCAAGAAGGACATGCAGATGTCAACGGTAGGCAAGCAAGGCTAGGTTTCCAAGTAGCCCTGGCATGCAGAGCACTCTTGGCATTGTCTTGCTGCTTGGTAGACTCTAAACCCTAACAGAGTAAAAATATGTAATGACTACCACTGGGCTCCCTAGGCATCGCAAGCCTCACACCTGCGCCAGTGTCTTCTGTCTTCTGTGTAACACAGCCTTCTGAGTCCAAAGTATGGGAGCTTCCAAATTTCAAGCTACAGTAGCGTCCCCATTTCTTGCCTCGAACGCATGGTAAACATCGCCATATTTTCGGAAACCCTATATAGTTTGTCAGACTCTGGGCCCGTATCCCAAAACCCTAGACCCCTCGGACGTCACCCAGAGACCGCACCCTGAGCCCTCGGACAGCGACTTGAAGCAAGAACAACAAACGCTAAGCCCTCCAGCCATGAGCCAACTACGAATCAAATCCCGAGTCCAGAGACCAAAAACCTCAACCTCCGATCTAAACTGCAGTTCCAAGCAAAAGGCTTCGGTAGTACTCATCCGTCTCCATAAACCGTCCCACACGATCGATGTGAATGTGAACGACCTCGGATCTTGCTCTGGCGAGTGGCTGAAGCCTTTGTGTCGAGTTTGGACAGATGTCTGTTGGGGCTCAAGGATTTGTTCTGGCTTTGGGTTTGAAGGTTTAGCGTCTGCGAGATAACTGTGGGTTCAGGGTTCAGGGTTTGAGGCCCTAAACCCTAAACCCTAAACCCTAAACCCTAAACCCTGAACCCTGAACCCTGAACCCTAAAATCCTAAACCCCAAACCCTAAACCCTGAACCCTACATGAACTCGAGGTCGCCACTGTAGGGATTATCGTACCCCCTTAGAGTTTAGGGCGTGGGTTTAGGGCTTAGGGTTTAGGGTTTAGGGTTTAGGGTTTTGGATCATAGTACCCCCTCTGTAAATCCCTCTTCAAGAGCTGTTCGTAACACGGGGTAACATAATAAGTGTTTTATGTCGTGCTTAGCGTGTGGTGTTTAGACATGTTTAGGCGGTATGCACCTTTCAACCATGCACGGCCCTAAACCCTAAACCCTAAACCCTAAACCAAACTCGTAATGTTAAACATGAGTGGGCTGAGTATAGGTCGGTGAACAGGCAACGACATCAGTAATCACTGCTTCGAAGCCAACCACAAGCGCTGATCGCTTCTGGATGGGTCCGCAATGATCTCTCGCATAAACCCTAAACCCTAAACCCCAAACCCTAAACCCTAAACCCTAAACCCCAAACCCTAAACCCCAAACCCTAAACCCTAATTCCTAAACCCTAAACCCTAAACCCTGCTGCAGCTTGGGCCGCTCCTCTCTCTCAAAACCAACTGCAGCTCGGGGTGCTGTGGGGGCCAAGTCCTGTGGAAATGGGCTTTCAGGAGTTCAGGTAGTTCTCTAACTAGGGTTTAGGGTTTAGGGTTTAGGGTTTAGGGTTTAGGTTTTAGGGTTTAGGGTTTAGGGTTTAGGGTTTTAGGGTTCAGGGTTAGGGTACCTGTGTCGGGTCCTATATGTCGTAGGGCACCATTATAATCAGGACCCAAACAGGGGACCCTAATTTAGAAAACTACCTATTTGGGTTTGGGGTCCTTCTGGCATTAGAGCTTAAGGCCTTAAGGGTTTATGCCTTAGGGTGTGGCCTCGGGGCAGAGGACTTTGGGGCTTTGTGCGTTGAAGGGCCGGCATCAACAGTGCTTCACATGGTCGTTGTACTATTGAAGAGGCTTTTTAAACGGCAAATGGGCCTGGAAGCTTGGCGAGCTTAGGCCCAGAAAGGACGAGCCTCAACTTGTGGTTAAGCGGGTTTAGGGTTTAGGGTTCCCGTTCGGGATGCTGCCTGACTTGCAACGCCCCGAGTCCCGAAACCCTAGGGTGCAGCAACCTGCAGCCCAGACCCTAAACTCGACATAGTTACTCCACCAGTAGCGTTGCTTCTGAAGGCTTGCGGGGCTTCCAGTTTTTCTCTCAGAGGGCTTCACTGGTGGGTCAAGCCAGACCCAGACCCTAAACCCCAAACCCTAAACCCCAACTCGAAAAACCCTAAACCCCAAACCCCAAACCCCAAACCCCAAACCCTAAACCCTAAACCCTAAACCCTAAACCCTAAACCCTAAACCCTCCCTGCCTGGATCCAGCCGAGTGTGGCCTGGAGCTCCTGCTCCGAGTAGCCCAGACTCCTTGGGGGGCGGGGGAGGGGAGGGGGTTTAGGGTTTAGAGTTTAGGGTTTGGGGTTTGGGGTTTAGGGTTTTTCGGTTTGGGGTTTAGGGTTTAGGAGGTAGAGGGTAGCAGAGGGTAGAGGGTTTAGGGGTTGGCCTTGTAAGGGTGGGCGGGGGTACCCTAAATAAAACCGATGTGGCGGGGCTCCCGGGGAGATTATGGGACTTGAGCTTCAACCTACAGGTACAATAGGGTTTAGGGTTTAGGGTTTAGGGTTTAGGAGACTGTCTGGGGCTCTAGTTCCTGCAGTCTTTGCCGTCCACCTCGCCTACCTAAAAAACGGCATGTTTCAAGCTGGACCTAAACCTAGAAGAGCGCGATAACTTCAAGCACAAACCCGGAAGTCAAAAAGCGTGCAACCTGAAACTCGAAACTTAAACCTATAGGGTTTAGGGTTTAGGGTTTAGGGTTTAGGGTTTAGGGTTTAGGGTAGACATCTTCAAATGCCGGCGAAGCAACTCAAAGCGCTTTCGAACCTGCAGCTCAGGGAAGGGACTGGGCTCTGTTGGGGCGATGGGTTGAGGGAAGTGAAAGAACGAGCTCACACGAACACACCATAAACTCCAGCTAAACTACCGTACCCGTCGTTTTTTTCACATGCCCTCGTGGATGGTATATTCTAAACGGTTTGAGCGGAAGAAAAAGCGATGTTGATTAACTTTCAAAGTTGTTCACAACCAAAAGCACAGTTCATGAACTAACTTTCACATCCTTCACTTCATTCGTTTAAAAAATGTGTCACTACTTGTACAGGCTTTTGGACAGGGTCCATTGCTTAGTTCTCTCAGTCCGAGACTTCCGGGGTCCTAAGCTTCAAAACCTAAACTAGCAATTGCTTCAGAACCCCCAAAGAATAAAACAATATGATTCCTAAGTAGTAAGCCCAAACTGCTAAACACCAACCCAAACGAACTGACCCGAAACCCAACCAATCTAGCTTTAAGAGTGCCCCTGGCCTGCAACCATTGGGATGAGCTAAATAATTATTTCTGACTGAACCCCTGTGAGATTTCTGTGAGAGTCAAGCACCTGTGAGAATCCTGTGAGTGAGTTTTGTGAGATTTCTGTGAGAGTCAGGCACCTGTGAGAATCCTCTGAGTGAGTTCTGTGAGATTTTGTGAGAGACCTGTGAAAATTCTGTGAGCGAGGTCTGTGAGATATGTGTGAAAGGGCAGGCGCTTGTGAGAGAATGAAGTTTAAGTCGTTTAGGTCTAGTTTGCCAGCCCCCTGTGAGAATTCTGTGGGCGAGGTCTGCGAGATCGAGAGAGAATCGGTGTATTCCCTCTCCTCTGGCTCTATCTATCTATTTTTTCTTTCCCTTCTCTCTCTTCCTCTCTCTTTTCTCTATCTGACTATCTGACTCTATCTCTCTCTCTCTCTCTTTCTCTTTCTTCTGCCTTCTCGCCTCTTTCTCTTCTCCAGCACCTCTCCATCTCTATAGAAGACCTTACGACAAGAATTCTCAGAAGCCCTGCATAACGCACAACTCTCGCAGGTTTCTCAGAGAACCCGCAGCCCGCAGTGGCCCTGCTGCAGAACTCTCACAAAATTCTCACAGGACCTCACCGAAGCAGACCGTGGACCTGCAGAACTCTCACAGGATTCTCACAGCAGCCTCCTACGGCGTAACGGCAGCGGACCTGCAGGAATCCGAGAGCAATTCCAGAGAGGATAGGAAAATCAGTAGAATCCCAAGTAGAACTGCTGTGAGAAGCCTGTGAGAAGCCTGTGAGAATCCTGTGAGAAGCCTGTGAGAAGCCTGTGAGAAGCCTGTGAGAATCCTGTGAGATCCCTGTGAGTTCTGCACCTCTCTGTGAGAACCCTGTGAGAACCCTGTGCCCCTGTGCACCTGTCTGTGAGAAGCCTGTGATCCTGTGAGAACGTTCTGGTGCTCTGAATCCTGTAGGACTAGGCTCCTGTGAGGGCTATAAATTCTGAAGAATCGACGGCCGCTGACCCGACATCTAGACTGTAGACTGTAGACATAGATGCTCGCAAGCCGCAATTTCTCCCCAACCCAAGCTCGCGTGTCTGCCCCTAAGTGCCCCAACTCCCCTGCCCGCCTGACCAACGTCCAGCATCATGTCACATTCAGACAGCTGACAACAATGAACAGCGTCAGTAGCACACTCAGTATTAATTAGAAATGTGATTAGGGAGTTGCGTACAGAAGCCTGTCTGAAGGTCGCGAAAGGCCTTGCGCACAAGAAAAACTTCGCCCACAGAAAACTTCCATTCGCAGCAAAGTCGCTGGTGGACCTCCGCTCACAGCTATCTGACAATTCACAGATTCCACTCGCGCAAAACTCACCAGGCCTCTTCCACTCAAAGAAAACTCACAGATTCCACTCGATTCCACTCACAGCCGACTCACGAGCCCTATTCCACTCACAGAAAACTCACAGACTCCACTCACAGACGCCACTCACAGACGACTCACAAGACTATCCTGCTCACAGAAAACTCACAGACTCCACTCACAGACTTCTCACAGGCCTATCCCGCTCACAGAAAACTCACAGACTGCACTCACAGACTTCTCACAGAAAACTCACAGAAATAATTCTTCAAGATGGTCTCAACGGTTGCAGGACGCGGCACTCTTAAATCTAGCTCGGTCTACATCGCAACACCATTCAGAGTCCCATAACTTAGTTGCTGAGTGCAGAAGGCCCCCAGAAGTGTTCCCTTTCAGTTCTACAGGGGAATTATAGTATCCCAACAAGTGGAAAGTGCACTCACTCAGCTACTAAGATAAACTTCCCGAAGCCCTTTCTAAGCTTTCTGGGGCGGCCTCGCCTTCGGCGGGCCTTTGGGCCGGCTGTGTCCAAAGTACTTGGATCGTTTTTTTTGCGCTCTGGATGTTCGGCTCCAGGGGTGAACCCGGCCCCTGCGTTTTGGCACTTTTATTCTGCACGCGACGTCGCGTCCCTCGTGCATGTCGACACGCTCCAGGGGCGAAGGGTTTATTTGCTATTTCAGTGTTGTGGTGCTGTCCACAAAAATACCCAAGAAACCAAAACCACAAAAACCAAAAAAACCAAAACCAAAAAAACCAAAAAAACCAAAAAAACCAAAAAAACCAAAAAAACCATTATTCAGGAAGTCTCCCTGTAAGAGTTCCTAGGAAATGGTTTTTTTAGTTTTTTTGGTTTTTTTGGTTTTGGTTTTTTTGGTTTTTTTGGTTTTGGTTTTTTTGGTTTTTTTGGTTTTGGTTTTTTTGGTTTTTTGGTTTTGGTTTTTTTGGTTTTTCTACTGTCCCGTGTATGCAGATTTAGTTGTATTTTAGTCTACGCCCTAGGACATACGCTATATTGCACACCGAGTTTGCTTGCAGTGCAGCTGGGTGACTTGAGACAAGGCGAAAAAGGGTAGGTCACTGGGGGGGGGGTACCATATAGCTACCCCCTCCCCCCCCCAGCGACCTACCCTTTTTAAGCCTTTTTAGGCTTTTTTAACAAAAAACAACGAAGAAGGCCCAAAAGTCGCGTAGTTCATCACCGGGTAATGAAGGACAGTACTGGGACACCCACCTCACAGACTCCAATAAGCCAGCATTGGAATAATCTACCTTTTGAATCTGAAGCGGACAATGCTGGTTTAGATGATTAGATCTGTGTTTTTTTCTATGCAAATTGTGCGTTTAAAGGGCAACTAATGTTTTGTTGAGCAACTAGTTTATTTATACAATTGTGTTTGTACGAGGCAAAGTATTAATCAAACACTGAAACATTTTTCTTGATTCTATGCGAATTTAACTACTAGAGTAATTATTAAGCAAAGAGCCCAATTTGACTCAAGTGAATACTATTCAAAGGAGCATACTCAACCAAGATACGAAATAGACACCATTCTCAACCAAAATATGGCAAAGTGTGCGTTTAAAGTGCAAATAATGCTTTGTTGAGCAACTACTGTATTCATACAATTGTGTTTGTACTAGGCAAAGTATGCTCTCTGAAAAGTCCACTGAAATACTTTATGTTTACATATTTATGAATCGTTTGTATTTTTGAAAGAATTATTTTATGCGAATTTAGCTACTAGAGTAATTATTAAGCAAATACCTCAATTTGACTGAAGTGAATACCATTTACAGGACCATACTCAACCAAAATACGAAAGAAGCACCATATTCAACCAAAATATTGCAAAGTGTGGTTTAAAGGGCAAATAGTGCTTTGTTGAGCAACTAATGCATTGAAACGGCTGGGTTTACACCAGGCAAAGTATTATTGAAATACTATCTGCAAAGTCAAATGAAATACCTTATGTTTACATATTCATGAAACATTTTATATTGTTGAAGTATTCATTCTATGCGAATTTAACTACTAGAGGAATTCTTAAGCAAATAGCCCAATTTGACTCAAGTGAATACTATTTAAAGGACCATACTCAACCAAATACGAAAGAAACACTAACGGAAATGGAAGCGGTTCTACCTACATAACAATGAAACAAAGATTGCTGAAGTATTCAATAAAGACCACTTATATACTATGTCTGAAAAGCACAATTTGCATAAGCAAGCTTAAAAATGCACAAGAATGGAAATAGACGCGGTTCTACTTACATAACGATGAAACAAAGATGTCTGAAGTATTCAATAAAGACCACATATATACTCTGCTTGTCTCTATCCGCAGCCATGAACACATCCAAACGCGTGGTTTCGTTTCGTGTACTTACGTAAAATACTAAAACGCAGGGGCCGGGTTCACCCCTGGAACCGGATGTTCTTATTGGCTTTTATAAGGAGCTGACAAACACATGTGAAAGTTTAAGAGCAACAGAAGGGCGCCCGGGCGCTCGAGTTTTGTTCGCTCAGTTTCATGCGTCACTAGGTTCGTTTCACTCGTTTCTTTCTTTGCTTGTGATCGCCTCACAAAGCTGCTAAGAAATTAGTAGTACTGTAAGCCCGCACACGAACAAGACTGTTAATCTAAAGATGTTTAGTCGTTTGCCCTTTATCTGCTAGAGCCCGTCCAGAAGCCCTTGTTAGTAGCATTTCGGCGCTTTTAACACAGCATGGAAAGCAAAAGGAACATAATATACTTGAGCGGGAAAAATGATCCAGACACCCGGTTTTTCGTCTTTCCTAGTTCAATCGCTCACCAATTTGACATTGAGTTTGTGCGTCTTTCCCTTGCATCTCAACGATACTCGTGCACAGGTGGTTACAGGGAAAAAGGCTAACGACCTTTAACATCGCTCTCTTTGCCCTGTCACCTCTCTCTAGGAGGTAATCTGTTGAGTCGTGAATTTAACAGCCAGGATGAAAGAATGAGGGTCTTGTCTGTATTTCTTTGACTCCACTGTCTACGAAGGCCCGCAACACCGCACAATCAAAAACAAGGTTGAAACGTAGCGAAGGAGAAGGCCGTTCACAGGCTCACCAGTCTCGATGTTAAACTAACTACACGTCTGTCTCTCTTTGCACCGGTTTTCGTACTTTTTTCCGCCATGCTCGTGCGTTGCTTGCCTCACTCACAAATAAAGCCTAAATCATGGGTGAAGAAGAGAAAGGTAGAGGTATTCTTCATTTCTCCGGCCGATCACTTCGTTCAGTCACTCGCCTCGGCTCAAGACTCGCTCATTAGCTCACGTCTTCTTCTCCCGACTTCCAAGGAAACACGCAAAGTCATTTAATATCGAACGAAAGGAACCCAACACACAAATCTAGCCATTCATCTCTCTCTCTCTCTCTCTGTCTCTCTCTCTCTCTCTCTCGTTCCACACTGCCTGGCTGAGATGCGAAGCATTGACGAGCTACAACCTCTACTTCAAACAACATCGTTTTCAAGAACAAAACACCATTCACCCAGAAACGTTTAAACGTTTCACCCCCGTTGCCACCCCCCCAACCCTTACAGACCCCCAAAGCCTCGACGCACCCTGCGGCCCTAAACCCTAAACCCTAAACCACTCTAAACCCCAAACCACCCTAAACCCTAATCCCTAAACCCTAAACCCTAATTACCCTTAACCCTAAACCCTAACCCTAATCCCGAAACCCTAAACCACCCTAAACCCTAAACCCTATAAACCCTAATCCCTAAACCCTAAACCCTGAACCCTAAGCCCTGATTGCACCTCCGGCAGGGCAGCCTCGTGGAGCGCCGAGGCGTTGGCGCGCACCTTCGTTTTGTGGGCCTATACGGTTTAAGGATTTAGGGTTTAGGGTGTAGGGTTTAGGATTTAGGGTTAGTTATACACCCCAGACCCTGGGATGTTCACCCTTATACTAACAGTCCTTAGTAGAGATTATATTTGATAGGGGGTACCATAATTCTATTAAGGATTGTTAGTACAAGGGGGAACATCCCAACCCAGACCCTTTAATTAAGGCTTGGGGAAGGGGGTGGGTGGGATAACTTTAGGGCTTGAATAACTCAGCGTGTTTGGGGGGGCTCAGCCCAGTGTTTGTTGCTGTCGGGGGGGGAGGGGGGCTTTGGCCTTGTAGGAGGCTTAGGGTTACAGGGTTTGCAGGCTTACAGGGTTTAGGGCTGGGAATTGCATCGTGTTCAGAGCTGAGGGCTAGGGTTCCCCAGCCCACGTGCTTGATGCGTCAGGGGCGCATGCGCCAAGGCAGCTCGCTGACAGGGTACGAGCTTCCTCGGCTGAAAAAAGGGGGGCGTGACATTTGAACTCAACTGCAACCTCCGCGCAGAAACCGCCCTAAAACCTATGACCCTATGTGAAACCCTCGGGTGAGGGGTGGGGTACCTTTGCTGAATGGGTCTGTAAGGGAACCTCAGCCATATAAGAAAAGGCCGAAGCGCACCGCTGGCTCAACACAGGTTCGACCCCAGGGGTGCAGGCTCACATAAATATATTTATGTAATATAGTATACATGGCCTTTTGTGCTATATGATATTGTTGTATGAAGTTTTTAAATATTGTATGATATGATATACGATACTATAGGTTAACAATTGCAGAGTACAAGTTCTCTAACTATATTGCATTGTGTGCACAAACAATTCATGTGATCCACTATAGCTCCAGCGCCGTTCCAGAAACCCTGAACAAATCCCTGTATGCTTTACCGAGCATAATTACCCCCCCCCCCCCCCCCCCGCCCCCTAATACCCATGTTCCCTCCTAAGGACTGTTAGTATAAGGAAACGTACCAACCCAAACCCCAAACCCCAAATCCCAAACCCCAAACCCTAAACCCTAAACCCGAAACCCTAGACAAAAAAAAAAAAAACAAAAAAACAAATAACAAATCTCCGGCGCTCGACATGCCGCGGTTTCAAGCTGGGATGCTGCGGCTTCAAGCTGTGGCTTGGGTTTAGGGTTTAGGGTTTAGGGTTTAGGGTTTCGGGTTTAGGCTTTAGGCTTTGGGGTTTGGGGTTTGGGGGATGTGATTGGGGGTGCACCTTCTGTCGAAAGCGGGCTTCCGAGCACCAGGGGTACTTTGGCATATTCAAAGCAACTTTGCGCGTGTCCGGGGTGTCGTGGCATCGATGCTGAAACTCCCAATATAGCACCTAAACCCTATAAACCCTAAACCCTTAACCAGCCCCCCCCCCCCCCAAAAAAAAAAAAAAAAAAAAAAACGATTAAAATAAAATAAAACATCATAATGCTAAATAAACAAAGTAAAATAAACAATAGAAAAAATAAAAGAAAATAAAAAAAAATAAAATAAAAGCACCCAGGCCACTCGACGGCACGCATCTCGGACTCTGGAAAAATGGCGGCCCAGAACGCCTGCTGCTCCTGGAGCTTCACATTCAGGGTGCTTCGGGTTGCGGGCAGGGAGGCTTAGGGGTTTAGGGTTTGGGAAGTTTTTGGTTTAGGGGTTTAGGGGCCCCAAAAGCCTGGTGGTTCGACTCTCTTATAAGCCCGAAATCACCAACCTCACTGACCCAAAGCGACTCAAATCCCCGAGGCATATAGGCTCCCTCCTTTCAGGCGCGCAAGAAAACGCAGCAACACCACCGAGGAAGTTTACCTTAACTCCTGTTTGCTTAAGAACCCCAAAACAATGAAAGATAGTATTCCCTATCTTCCCCTTGCAAGGGAGAATGGTTCATTATTCGGTTTTTCGGGAGGTTCTTAAGCAAATAGTAGTTACGGCCCCAGGTTTCCTAAGACCCCTAAGGTTTAGGGTTTAGGGCTTCAGCCTCAGCCCAGGGCCCATTCTTGCGACACCAGTCTGACGAAATGTCTTTGCCCTAAACCCTAAACCCTAAACCCTAAACCCTAAACCCTAAACCCTAAACCCCAAACCCCTAGAACGTCTCTTGTCGCTTCCCCCCGGAGCGGGGCCTCAAGGATGCCCACCTCACGCAAGGCGGACACCACGTTGCTGTCCCTGGCGGCGTTCAGGGTTTAGGGTTTAGGGTTTAGGGTTTTAGGGTTTAGGGTTTAGGGTTTTAGGGTTTTAGGGTTTTCAAGGTTTTAGGGTTTTAGGGTTCTAGGGTTTTAGGGTTTTTAGGGTTTTAGGGTTTTAGGGTTTTAGGGTTTTAGGGTTTTAGGCTTTTAGGCTTTTAGGCTTTTATGGTTTTAGGGTTTAGGGTTTTAGGGTTTTAGGGTTTTAGGGCTTTTAGGGCTTTTAGGGTTTTAGGGTTTTAGGGGTTTTAGGGTTTTAGGGTTTTAGGGTTTTAGGGTTTTTAGGGTTTTAGGGTTTTTAGGGTTTTAGGGTTTTAGGGTTTTAGGGTTTTAGGGTTTTAGGGTTTTAGGGTTTTAGGGTTTTCAGGGTTTTCAGGGTTTTAGGGTTTTAGGGTTTTAGGGTTTTAGGGTTTTCAGGGTTTTAGGGTTTCAGGTTATCAGGGTATCAGGGGTTCAGGGCCTAGGGTTTCAGGGTTTAGGGTTTCAGGGTTTAGGGCTGAGGGCGTTAGAGATCCGGGTTGGTGGTCCAACAAGGGAAGAGGCATTAAACTACAGGGGTCCTGATGTCTTGCAGTTTCGGGGATTTGGGATTTCGGTGGTGTGAGGGCTTGTCATTTTGTTCTCCTGCCAGGTTTTGCCAGGGGTGCAGTTCACACGAGGGCTGAGGGCTTCGTGGTTACCGAGGGGCACCCATAAATCTTAAACCCTAAGCCCTAAAGCCATAACCCATAAACACAAAACACCAAACCCATAAACCCTAAACCTTAAACCCATAATCCCATACACCCTAATTAAAGCCCTAAACCCTAAACACTAAACCAAAAACCCATAAACCGCAAAAACCCTCAACCAATAAAACCCATACACCCTGAACCCTAAACCCCTAAACCCCAAAACCCTAAACCGATAAACCCTAAAACCTCAACCCTGAACCAAGAACCCATAAACCCTCACACTCCCCAGCTCTGACACCAGAAAGCTCGAAACCAATACCTTCAGCCCTAAACCCCTAAACCCCTAAACCCCTGAACCCCTAAACCACTAAACCCCTAAACCCCTAAACCCCTAAACCCCTAAACCCCTAAACCCCTAAACCCTAAACCCTAAAAGAAAGCAGAGAAAGCAGAAGCGGAAGCCAGGCCTTTTTGTACTCGCCGTACAGCTCCAATCCAATTAGGATTAATTTAGGTCAGGGGCAGCCTGGAGACGATTTGTTAGCGCTGCCTGCTGCATGCCCTCCAGCCCTGCTAGGCAGAGCCCTGACATATGGAAGCTTGAGCAACATATCAGATACATCAGGAGTTTTTGGCGCCAAGTGTACTGGCGCATGACCCTTCACACATCTGTATGCATGTCTGTCAAGACAAGTCATGACACTTCATAAAAATCGAGTGTTGACGGAACACTTCGTCGAACATCTCAGTACAACTAGGCAAGGAGAGCTGCCACATTGAAACTAGCTGATGGCCCGAATGGCCTTCATGCGTTGCATCATGAAAGCGCACGCCAAAGCTGACATCCCTCGGACTGTGTATGCAGCCGCTGGTTGTAGCGGGATCCCAGATTGGTTAAGAGCAGCCCCTATTCCCAGCTCGTCGCAAGAAATGATTCGGAGAGCCTGCACATACGCAATGCCAGCCCCTATTGGCCAAGGAAGTTGCGTCTGCTCAGTTCTGCATGTGTAGAATGCAAAACCCAAGATGAAACCCAGAAGAATGGCCGAAAGGAACCACAAGGGTGGGATTGGATGCCCACAGAAAAGAGTCCTGCTGCACTGCATGAGACCTGAAAAGGATTCCCCCAATCAGGCCTTGATTTCCAGCTCCTCTTGCAGATGTGCAAGCAAAATGCCCTGGCGATCTTTGCACGCCCGTGGAGTGGCAAGACCCTCGCTCCTGAGCACTTCCAGAAGCTGGCGGCCTTCCATGGACTCCACAGCAGAAACGATGTCAGCCCAAGCTTTCACTGTTGACAGGTCTGAGATAGTCCCATCCAGCACTTTGGCAGCCAGGCGCTTTTGAGGCCCTGACAAAATGACATTTTCTGCAGTTTTTCCAGCTGGCGGGGCAGGCTTCGCATGTGCACCTGTGGATTGCAACCTTTCCCAGAGACGCTGTTCGAGTTCTTTCAACTCCTTGTGCTTCTGTTCTTCAATAGCAGCTTGCTCAGTCTTCTCCTTGAAGGCACGAAGCTCGGATAGCTCCTGCTTGAGTTTGGAAGCTTGCCTGGAACGCTTGTGAGTGTCTGCAGATGACGAACGAGAAGATCCTGAAGAAGCATCCCCACGGTGCGAGCGCTTCTTGCGGGAATGACGCCGAGCTGAATTTTCCCGATCTCCCATCCACATGGCATAAGCCATTCCAGCATCAAAACTCGAGGAGCTACCTTTTCCACCCCAAGACTGCTGATGGCCACCAGACCAGTTGCTACGGTTCCAGTTCTTAGACGACCACTGATTGTACTGGCCTTTGTTGCCCCCCTTGCCCCATGTCGCCTCAAGGTGGCGAGGGAACAGCAGGAACCATAGCAAAAAGCTAGTTGAGACCATCATGCTGCTCACTGTCTCTGACAACAGGCTGCAACTTGCTTGAACATTGGATCGCGGACAGCGTTGCGAAGAAAGCACACTGTATCATGCACCCTTGCAATATACACAGTGAAAAGCACCTTTGCCAATGCTCTGCTGCTCCATCCACAAGACATGCAATCCAAAAGAAAATGGAGCATGAACAGACGTAGGTCACTATGTGAATCACAAATTTGCGAAGCCCGGTGTAGTGCGCCTAGTAGTAAAGGCCGGATGTAACTCTCACCCGTCGCCCATGGGGGAGGGATCTGTAGCTTCTTACGTTTTGGAGTCAAGCTTTTGTCGGAACCCACTACCATGTCTAAGAAGTGGAGGGGAAAAACATCTTCGGCAACATCGAAGCGCTCATCATAGACATGAAGAAGGAGATCGACGAGGCAACCTTTGCAAAAGCTGTGGGTGCCCAAGAATACATCATCGACATATCTGACGTGGCAAACAGTTCGTTTCCAAGAATTTCGCAAGGAATAAAAGCCTGCATGCGCCCTCCGTGAAGAACTAGCTTTCCAAGCTTCTTCTTCTTGGCAAAGAACCATACTTGAAGCTAGCTTGCTCATCAGACCGCCGATCGGCAAACCGCTCAACATAGCGACTGCTTGGCCCACTGACACCAAGGAAACGCTGATGGCCGTCGAAAAAGTAGCAAAAATGTCAGGTAAGCCCAGGCGTACAAACTTTCCACGGCCACCTTGCAAGTCGCAAGTCATGAAACCGAAGAACTTCCGAGTGCGAGCAACAGCAACCCCTTTCCAACCAGCAGAAGCAGCTGCGGAGAAAACAGAGAACCCAGCTTGTAGAGCACGTTGGGGAGCGACTTCTTCGTAAAACTGACCAGCATCTGCGACGATTGCAGTGAAGCGCTGTTTTTCAGCCTGGCACCTGAGGCAGGTGTAAGGATTGCCAGGAACATCCAGATCCCTGAGGCCTTCGCGTAGTTTGGCGGTTGCATCTTTCAAACCATGAGCTTCAAAACCTGGACACAAACATCGCAGGATCACATCGGCACCTCGATTGAAGTATTGCCAGACCCGTCGCTTTGGCCATTTGGCATAGCTGCAAATCTTCCGAACACAGGAGTGTGAAAGTTTTTTGCAGCATCGCCTTACTTGGTAACCGTCGAAAAAACACTTGCTCTTCAACGTCGTGTAGACATACGGTAGTACCCACACACCATCACGAAGTCCTAACCGCGCGCTCAAGGTCACCCCCAGTGTATCCTTCATGCGCTGAAGCAGCACCTTGTTGGCGTAGGAACGAGAGTATTTGACAAACGTCCATGTGCTGGATAAGCACACGAATGCAAGGCACAGGACCTGGTACGCCAGCTTTGGGAGGATCCAAGCACTTTTCTTGTTTTTGTCATCCGGAACAACAGCGCGGCGTAATCTGTAGAACTGCAAGCCTTTAGTTTCGCGAGAATATGCTTCCGCTGAACGTTGTTGTCGAGCCAGTAACTTGTCTACTTCCACAGACGACCGCAAGGATGAAGACACCGCAGAGTGGAGACCAGCGAGTTCACGTCGTGGCAAACCAAGCTTCATGAGACCCTTCATGGTTTCATCACGGATGTACTGCACACGCTCAGCAAACGTCAACCTGTATCTAACATCCCAATTCTTTTCGGAACGAAGGAAACCCTGTCCTGACATGATGGAGGTCAGGTCCTCTTCGCTCATGCCTTCGAGCGAGGTCAACGACGCGTTCCCAGCAACTTGCACATGGTTCCAGAACGACTTGAAAGTGCGGCATTTCCCAACTTGTACACGTAAGCGGGACTTTAGCCAGGACTTCTCAGCCAGCGAAAACCTGGCGGCCGAATTTATGTATAGGACCAGAATCCTTCGAAGAACGCGTATGGACTCCTTATCAGGAGAAGCAAATCGCAAAAGACAAAAAGGCAGTCGCTTATAGTCGCAATATTCCCGCAATCTCCGGCTTAGCATAGCACGTTGACCGGAACGAGGCAGGAACCTCTTCAAGCCACAGAGCGCAGGAAACAAAAAAGAATTGCCCCACTTTCGCTCGCAAAGCTGCCAATCAACGCACGCTAGCCTCGTAACCAACCACAGTGCAAGCAAGTGAGCATTTATGGGACTGTAGATGTCGCAAGGACCAAACAAACCAGTGTCAGCAAAAGTTGCACGCGCGCAGGTCGCATAGGCAATGGCATATGGTATCCAAAGAGCGTAGGTCTTCTGTGTCTGACTCCCGTGATCCATCTTCGTGAGGCGGGCCTCTCGTGCACGTAGCCTTGCATCATGTTCCGACAGGTCATGCGGTCGAGGGACCCGACAATGCTTAGGGGGCCGCTTTCTCTGCTTGTCACGAACGCCCGTGGCAACGTAGCCGTTAGCAGAAGGTCTATGGTTGACAATGTCATGCCATTCAACGGCTCGCATGCGCAAAGCAGCGCCGTTCCCAACGACTACGAAGAACAGCGTCCAGGGGGGGTGTCTGCGAGCCATTCGGTATCGGAGCTTACGTGCTTCCTGCGTGTGAGACCGCATGGTTGCAATCATATGCTCAGAGAAACGCTTCACAGGTCCAGAAACATTGGGCGCACTGTCTCTCGTAGTATGCGCGAAGCCTGTGTATCTGAAATGGCCAGAAAACCACTGATAAACAACCGCCTCGCATTCAGCAGTATCCAAAATCAGAGCTTCATGCCATCTCACTAGCTCTCTGACTGCATGTGGGGAGTCATAGCCCTGGAAAACAGCCTGAACGTGGTCAGGCAACATCCGCAAGACGCACTTAGCATGAGCATGGCTGCTATTGTAGCGTAGCCAAAGTAGGCCCTTGGCCATGGCACACATGCATATCAATCTTTCAACATCAGGCGAAACATGGCATTTCTTGCTGTCTGGGGGGAACATGTAGTCAAGCGCAAGCTTTTGGAGCTTTGTCAGCACAGACCAAAGTCGATGAGGAAAGTCTGGAAGTCGCCACTGGCATAATACTTTGGCAAAGACAGACCGACACAACAACGTCGTGCACTCGCGCTGAACTTGCTTGGTGACCCGTCTATCGCCAAAAACAGGCACAGGCCCAGTTGTAATAAGATTTGACCAAAAGCTGCACGCAGTCAGAATGCACATGCTCGCGTTCGCCATTGCAGTTGCCCAAGAAAAAGGAAAGGTACGGTATCTGAAAGTGCTGCACCAGAGTGCACCCTGGTAGATGAAGTATTCGAGGAGGAAGTGAAAGAACACAAGGCACCGTAGCAAAACGCAGTCACTGGTAGCCGGTGTAGCCTTGTGGGAAACGCCAAGAAAGCAGAAGCGGAAGCCAGGCCTTTTTGTACTCGCCGTACAGCTCCAATCCAATTAGGATTAATTTAGGTCAGGGGCAGCCTGGAGACGATTTGTTAGCGCTGCCTGCTGCATGCCCTCCAGCCCTGCTAGGCAGAGCCCTGACATATGGAAGCTTGAGCAACATATCAGATACATCAGGAGTTTTTGGCGCCAAGTGTACTGGCGCATGACCCTTCACACATCTGTATGCATGTCTGTCAAGACAAGTCATGACACTTCATAAAAATCGAGTGTTGACGGAACACTTCGTCGAACATCTCAGTACAACTAGGCAAGGAGAGCTGCCACATTGAAACTAGCTGATGGCCCGAATGGCCTTCATGCGTTGCATCATGAAAGCGCACGCCAAAGCTGACATCCCTCGGACTGTGTATGCAGCCGCTGGTTGTAGCGGGATCCCAGATTGGTTAAGAGCAGCCCCTATTCCCAGCTCGTCGCAAGAAATGATTCGGAGAGCCTGCACATACGCAATGCCAGCCCCTATTGGCCAAGGAAGTTGCGTCTGCATGTGTAGAATGCAAAACCCAAGATGAAACCCAGAAGAATGGCCGAAAGGAACCACAAGGGTGGGGTTGGATGAAACCCTAACCCTAAACGAATCATCGGGCCTCGTGTCGCTGAAGATCCAGCTCTGCGGGACCACCTTCCGGATGCCCATTCGTTAGTGGTTGGATTTTTGGGTTTTTGGGCTCTTTTTTTCTTGGTTTTTGGGGTTTTGGGTTTTTTTTGGGGTCTTTTGGGCTTTTTGGGGTTTTTTTGGGCGTTTGGGGTTTTAGGGTTTCGGGTTTGGGGTTTAGGGTTTGGAGTAGGGTTTGGAGTTTAGGGTGACAGATGTCGGGGCGCTAGTGTCTGGAGGTCTTGTCGGACGGTTTAGGGTTTCCAGGCCGCTTTTCAGGACGTATCGTTTTGTCACGGTGCTTGAATGTGTGTCCCTAGAGTCTTAAGTGTTAGGTTTGGGTTTAAGGTACGTAGGGTCTTGGGATTTCAGGGATGTTAGCTTCCTGGCCGCTCTTCCCCCGCTAGTCCAAGAATCTAGGAACAAGAAGGGTAATGGAGGGTTTGTGTGGGGTGTGTGGGGGTGTCTTACCAGAAGCAAAGGGAAACCCACCGTCACACTTGGGTGGATTTCGGTGCTTTTCTCAACTTAAAATTCGGGGGAGTTGCGCCCTGACACTCTGAAACGCCCAAAGTCTGTCACCCCAATAGGTTCGTTGGTCCCCCCAAAAAAAAATGAAAAATGAGGCCCTTAACCCTAAACCTTGAACCTTAAACCCTAAGCCCGAAACCCTAAAAGCCTAAACTAAACCCTAAACCCCTACACCCTAAAATGTTCAGCCCAAAGCCCGGGAGCCTGACGGCTGAGGACCTTGGGTCCTGTCTGTTCCGACTCGTCGTCCACGAAGTCGATGAGCACCTGGGAGGGTTTTAAGGGTTTCGGGCCTTAGGGTTTAGGGTTTCGCGTTTAGGTTTCTGGCTTTAGGGTTGGAGGAAGCAGCGCGGGTTTAAGGTTCAGGGAAAAAGGGGAGGTGAGGGTGAAGGATGTGCCCCAACACCCTGCAACTCCCGCTTTGCAAGGCACCCCGAAACTAGCTCCAAATATCTGAGGAGCTTCCACCCGTACACACTGAACCTTGAACCCTCCAAAACCCTGAACCTTAACTTATGCTTCCAGGATTGAAGGCATGCCTAGACCACCAAAGTCCCCCCTACCAATGGTGCCAGAAACCTGCATTCTAGGCTTTAGGGTTTAGGGTTTAGGGTTTAGGGTTATCTACAAAGCCTAGACCCTAGATCCTGAACCTAAACCTAAACCGTGACTCAGGCATATAACCCTAACCCTGAGTCCTCAAACCCTAAACCCTAAACCCTAAAGCCCTAAAGCCCTAAAGCCCTCAAACCCTCAAACCCTCAAACCCTAAACCCCTGAAAGCAGTTCGGATTTAGGTTTCAGGCTGATTCTGCCAGCCAGGGTGCGCCGTTCGTGGGCATCACGCGTAGTTCCAAGACCTGCCCCTCACGCAGATGCTCCGACTTCTTCCTGGGACGTGCAGTTTGGGAGTTGTTAGGGTTCAGGGTTCAGGGTTCAGGGTTCATTGTTCAGGGCTCAGGGTTTAGGGCTTAGGGTTTAGGACTTCTGTCACATTGCATGTATACTTCCTCTTTGCCGAAGGAGAGCGCGGCCCAGAAACAATTTGGGGTTTCGGGTTTGTTCAGGTTTAGGGTTTGGGGTTTGGGGTGTGGGGTTTGGGGTTTAGGGTTTAGGGTTCAGGGTTCAGGTTTAGGGTTTGGGGTTTAGGGTTTTCTCTCTGCTGGGGGCTGAACTTTGCATTGAGACTGGCACACTCTGTCAATCTCATTCAATCTCGTACGAGATAGCGCACGCAACTTATCATATCATGTCATATTATGCAGATCATATCACAGCATATCATATCATATCATCTATACGTCACCAGAACCCGCCTGAACTGACACTGCAAGACTATTCGAACCCTTCCATTGTCGGGAGGATTGTCGTAGTTACCGGCTTTCTTCTCATGGCTACATTTCCAAGAGTAGTTACATGGTCCCTTAATACGGTCTCCTACCTTCTTTGGAGTCCCCATGGGACCATGTTAGCTACCCTAAGAGCCGTCTGGGCCATGCGCGTGTATCATTGACAACACTAAAAAGATCACAGGCCTTCGGCCCAGATTGCCAAATCGGCGAAGTTTAGGGTTTAGGGTTTAGGGTTCTCAACTGAACAGATTCAAGAGACTCTTGTGTGACCGACATGCACGAGCAATGTGCTTGCGCTTGCACAACAAAATCGAAACGCGCACTGTGGCCCTAGAGGCGCAGCAGCTGGTGTGCAGGGTACTGTGAGCTTTGTCCTGAACTTACTCCTTGAATCTCAGGAAGTTTTGTCTCGGAGGGGTAGCCTGTGTGGGGCTTCACCCATCAAAGGCAAGCCGAAACGAGAAAGTGAGAGAGAGAGAGAGAGAGAAAGAGGGAGGCAGGGAGGCAGGGAGGGAGCCCGGGAGCCAGAGAGCGAGGGAGAGAGGGAGAAAGGGAGAGAGGGAGAGAGAGGGAGAGAGCGAGCAAGGCGAAGGTTTCGGGTTTCAGTTTCTAAAGCTTGCCCAGAGTGACCTCAGACGTCAGTTAGATACTAGACCCAAGCGCAGCCTAGGAATAAACAGGGCCTCATGAAGGAACCTTGACCCAAAAAAGATGGAATAAGGGCCTTGTAGGACTGGGCTGCAAGCCAAGTTTCCCATCGGCCGTGTGGAAGTGAGACCGCACCTCCAAGCCGGACTCAAATCGCGAGAGAGCGAGAGACAGGGAGAGAGAGAAAGAGAGAGAGAGAGAGCGAGAGAGAGAGAGAGAGGCAAAGAGAGAGACAGAGAGAGAGAGAGAGAGAGCGAGAGAGAGAGAGAGAGAGAGAGAGAAAGAGAGAGAGAGTGAGAGGAGAGAGGAGAGAGAGTCAGAGTGAGGGAGAGAGGGAGGGACAGGAAAGGAGAGAGGGGGGCAGGGGGAGAAGGTGAGAGGGGAGAGAGGGGAGAGGGAGGGAGGAGGATGACTTGTCCGATACTCCCAGCAGGGGAACCCCCGATACTCCCCGTGGGGAGGCCAAGCTTAGTGAAACGTATTGCTCTATGACCCTTGACCACTGGTTACTGAGGCTTAAGCGCTAAATCCAGACGCGCCGCAGGCAGAAGACCATAAACGAAAGACCCTAAACGGCATCCCAAAACAAGAGGCCCAAAGCCATGCCCAAACTAGGCCGGAAACCCTGCAAATCATACCCGCTTGAATCCGAAGCCCCCAACACCTCGAAAGCCTCTATGCCCTACAACTCCAAGCTGAAAGGTAAACCCTAAACCCTCAACCCTCAACCCTAAACCCTAAACCCTAAACCAGTCTGCCGTGCAGGCGAGGCCACCCGGTTGCCAACTTCCAGAACAGCTGGCGCCTCAACGCCCCACCTGGCCGTGGGTTGCTCAGACCCTACTTGGAGGTTCCTGGATACTGGGTTTAGGGTTTAGGGTTTTGGGTTTGGATAGTTAGAAGCAGAGATAGAAGTGCCCTAAACAAGGCTCTGACAGATAGCTGCCCAACTTGAAACACCGCACTGACAACTACACGCACCTGCAAGGGGGCTCTTGGAAACCCACGAGGTTTAATGGCTAAAAACCTCAACCTGCTCCCTCTCTGCCTCGGAGACCCAGGGCCCTAAACCGTAAGGGTGAACATCCCAACCCGAAACCTAAACCCCTCGAAGTTGCGCAAGACAGAGGCATGGGAAACAAAAATAGCCCAAAGAGATGAAGCTGCAAGACCCTGCGCCCAGAAAAAGCAGGGGTTCAGGATTCTGCAATACCTCGGAGTTTAAAGGGGTGCCCTTATCCCAAAACCCTATAAACTTGGCCCCCAACCCTAAACCCTAAACCGTAAACTGTAAACCCCAGACCCTAACCCGTAAACCGCCGACCCTAAACCCTAAACCCTAAACCCTAACCGCCCTAAACCCTAAAATCTAAACCCTGAACCCTTCTCATAACCGCCCCTGAACCCTAATCCCTAGCCCCTAAACACTTGGCCCCAAACCCTAATTAAACCCTAAACCCTAAACCCTTCTCATAACCGCCCTAAACCCTAATCCCTAAACTAAACCCTAAAAACTTGGCCCCAAACCCTAAACCCTAAACCCTGCATCCCTAAACCGTAAACCGTAAACCGTAAACCGTATACCGTAAACCGTAAACCGTAAACCGTAAACCGTAAACCGTAAACCGTACACCCTAAACCCTAAACCCTAAACCCTAAACCCTAAACCCTACTGCTGTCGGGCAGCTGCTTCCGTGCCACGCGCAGACGCCGGTGTTCGAAGAGCTCGCCAAGGCCCCCGGCATCGCCTGTGTTGCACTGCAAGGGTTCCATGTGCCTATATGTGTAGGGTTTAGGGTTTAGGGTTTAGGGTTCATAGGGTTTAGGGTTTAGGGTTTAGGGTTTAGGGTTTGGGGTTGAGGGGTGAGGGTTGAGGGTTTAGGGGTTAGGGTTTAGGGTTTCGGGTTTAGGGTTTGGGGTTCAGGGTTAAGACGGTTGAGGTTTCGGGTTTACCCTTCTCCCCCTGTGGTTCACTGATGGGTTTAGGTCTTAGGGCTTAGGGTTCAGGGTTTGGGGTTTAGGTTGAGGTTTTTCTCCCCCACCTGTTGTCCGTGGTGTTTTTAAGGTTAACGGGCAGGGTTTGGATGCCATGGGGGGGGGGGGAGGGGGGCGGCCGAGGGGGGATGCGGGGGGGTGGGTGGGGGTCGATTATGCGGAACGCGGGCGCATATAAGGGTAGACCTACTTGGGACATACCCATATCGAATTCTCCATGATCATGCCCATGATGCATGTGGAAGATGAGCTCCGCGACTCAACCCTAAACCCTAAACCCCAAACCCTAAACCCTAAACCCTAAATCCTCCTCTGGCCCTGCACCCCAGGGGAGGCCTACAAAGCGCTGGAACTCTTCCAGGGTGATGTAACCGTCGTCGTTGACGTCCATCATGGCAGCCTCCATGTCTTCTTTTTTTTTTTTTTTTTTTTTGGGGGGGGGGGGGGGGGGGGGGGGGGGGGGGGGGGGGGGGGGGCGGGGGGGTTTAGGGTTAGGGTTTAGGGGGGGGGGGGGGGGGGGGGGGGGGGGCGGGGGGTTAGGGTTTAGGGTTTAGGGTTTAGGGCTTAGGGCTTAGGGTTTAGGGTTTAGGGTTTAGGGATAGGGACCATGGGTTCGAGTTTCGGGTTTACCCTAAGCCCTAAAAACCCTACAAGCCCAGGCAAGAAGCAGCCGTGCCCCCCCAGCTGTTTGACTGAAGGGTCTTGGGAGATCGGGGCTTTTGCCTCAGGTCTAAGGTATATATATATATATAATTATATGATATGATATGATATGATATAATATAAGTTTATATTATACTATATTACATTATATTATATTATATTATATTATATTATAAACAAATCTTCTGATACATACATATATATATATATATGTGTGTGTATATACATGTATATATAATATGTATACATACATCATTATATAAATATACAAACACTTTCGTATACATACATATATGTATGTGTGTGTGTGTATTTATACATATATACACACACTCGTACAGGTATAGGTGTGTATGCGTGTGTAGCATACATACATAGTGCTTTGGCCTCCTGTGCCCTGTTCTCTCCTAAAGACCCTAAAGCTGTTGGGCCCTTCCCCCCCCCCCCCCCCCCCTCCTCCGGCCCCCGCTCCCCTCTTGAATCTGAGCCTAAACCCTAAACCCTAAACCCTAAACCCTAAACCCTAAACCCTAAACTCTAAACCTAAGCCTCTCTAAAAGTGCAAACCGGCGGCCTCTTCAGGGCCCCAGCCGATGTAGGCGCACCTGAAGGAGAGCATCTGCAGGCCAGTTGCAGGCCCAATTACAACTTTGGGGTTGCCCGACAGCAGTAGGGTTTAGGGTTTAGGGTTTAGGGTTTAGGGTTTAGGGTTTAGGGTTTAGGGTTTAGGGTTTAGGGTTTAGGGTTTAGGGTTTAGGGTTTAGGGTTTAGGGTTTAGGTTCAACCGCAACTAATCAGGGTTTAGGATGTAGGGTCTAGGGTCTAGGGTCTAGGGTTTAGGGTTTAGGGTTTAAGGTTTAGGACCCTACGTGAAACCCTCGACCGAAGCCCCCAAAGCTTGTCCGAGCCGAGCTGCATATACTTGAACTCCTTGGGGTCCAATTTTTCGGACTTGTCTACGTCGAATCGGCGGAAAGCATCAGTCACCTGATGCAAAGCACCATCCACACCAAACCCACCCATCCAGTGCACAAACATACTACAGGGGCCTTAATTGGGGGGGTCATTGTAGTATAACTTTACAGGGACTTTAAGGGAACACTATTAGTAATTATTCCGACCCCTATATTACACATGCGCGCAATTCTGAAGTAGGTCTTCTGGCTCGCAGATGTCCGAGATGGTAGACTAGGCCGACTCGGTCCGACTAGGCATTCACATTGCAAGGACCCAAAAGGACAAATACGAAGACAAACGGCGCCGAGTAAAAACTGGTCGGTAGGGGCAAGATAGTAGCCAGGCAAGCCGCCAAGCAGTCGCCAGGTGGCCAAGCTCCCGAAAAGTACACTGTTAGAGTGTTAGAGTTACTCCCAACTTTCTATTCAAGCGAGCAAAGCTTCGGGACGTTCTTTGCGCAACTAAGACGAAACGATGTGAGCCTTGGTACATTGGCGCACAGCCTAGAATACCCCGCTCTGAGAAGGCTTCGAGCCTGCGCAATCTCGTGCTTCAGGCTGCAGGAGATTCGTTCCAGGAAGCCTTTGGCATCCTCGATGTTCTTCGCAATGACCTACAGCGTCGTGATGGGCTCTCAAGTCCTATAGCGCCCATCTCAGACTCAGAGCCCTGTAGGAGTTAAATCTCCATGCGCCCTGACTGAGAGCTAACCGCCCCTCAGCCCCTTGACCACCTCCAACCCCGCCTCCAACAAAAGACCTGAGCTGCGCGATTAAATTTGAGGGAGCCCCGAAATGGTTAGGGCTGGGGCTGCAGTGACAACCGAAATATGAGACCGAGACACACAAACACCATATCCGTTGCAGACACACCTACAAAATAGTATAACACCCCCCCCCCCCCCCCCCCCAAAAAAAAAAAAAAAAAAACAACCGTAGATGTGTACTCCCAAACTAACAAGTCATCGGGGCCCAGGGCAACAATGCCATGTTATCATGATGATTATTGGTATTATTATTATTGTTATTATTATCATGATTAATCTTTTCCATTATCCTAGAATCCCTCCGACAGCTCCCAGAAACTGCATCCTCGCGACTGCTTCGCGACAGCAGCGCACCCAGTAGAGGAGGTGGTGCGGCTTTGCCTCTGTGCCTCTCAACTTGGAGGTTCATGGGCAGCTATAAGTGGGTCGTAAGTAGGGCATGGGTTTAGGTTTAGGGTTTAGGGTTTAGGGTTTAGGGTTTGGGGTTTAGGGTTTAGGGTTCAGGGTTTAGGGTTTGGGGTTTGGGGACTAGAAGCATAGCTGGTTAGTACCTTATGTAGGCTGCTTCGAACCCTACTTATAACTACCCATGAACCCCGAAGAACGCACGCGGGTCTTTGTGCAAAGCAGCAGGGCTGGGTGCTTGGGACCAAAGCAGCTCCAAGGGTATTTTTATGGGCCCTTCATATGGTGCCTTCTTGAAAGGGTTCTGATGTATGGGCCTTTGGGTGTGGTTACCCTAAGAGCAGCAGGGCTTTGTGCAGACTCAACCCTACTCCCAGAACCCGACTAGGTCGAGAAGAAAGTCACGTTTTAGGGTTTAGGGTGCTGAAGCCTAACTCCCTTGGTCAAGGAAACCGGCAAAACAAAAAGGGGCAGCACCACTACGTGTCCTAGTGAAACGGTTCAGGGCTTCAGGGTGCTCGGGGCCCAGGCCACGCCCCCCACCCCCTCCCTCCCCCCTCCTCCCCCAAACCCACCCCCCTCCCCCCTAATCCCCACCGCCCCCCCAACCCAAAGCCCCCCACCACCACCCTGAAAACAAAAGGAGCAGGTCAATAGAGAGTCTGCAACATCACCCCAAACCCCAAACCCCAAACCCTAAACCCTAAACCCTAAACCCTAAACCCTAGACCCTAAACCCTAGACCCTAGACCCTAAACCCATCAACACAACCCATAAACCGTTAAGGCAACTTCTTCTGCAGGGCCAAGGGGCCCATTGGCTTGAGATACGGGTGATCATGGATGATCCTGGGAAGCTCTTGGTTTAGGGTTTAGGGTTTAGGGTTTAGGGTTTAGGGCTATAGGGTTTGGGGTTTAGGGTTTAGGGCAATAGGGTTTAGGGTTTAGGGTTAAGGGCTACAGGGCTACAGGGCTTAGGGTTTAGGCTTAGGACAAAATTCCTGTAGGCAAAAACGGTGAGCCCGTACTGCTGAATGAGGTGAGAGGGCCCAACCCCAACAGACAGGCAAAGGGTACCTCTGAACATCTCAACCATCACCAGCCGAACCGCCCTAACCCCTGACTGAGGCTATACTCCCCTTAGAACCTTAATAAACATAATATTGTTTAAATATCCTCGTCTTGGGTTTTGTATGATTAAAACAAAAACATAATTCCCACGGGGGATATAGGAGGCAGCTAATTCTTCTTGGTCTCCTCAAAAGGACACCCAATCATACACACTCGCCAATACTCTCGCCAAAACATAAGGATCCTCCCTCAAACGTTGCGACTTGTCCAAGGCATGATTTAGGGTTTAGGGTTTAGGGTTTAGGCCTGCAGCTTTATGGTACGTCTTGAATAGGAGGCATAACCCATCAAGATGCAACCACATGAGGCCCGGAAGGCCATGCACACGCCACAGGAGGAAAGGCACCACACAGCGACTAAAAAAGAAGGTGCAGGAAAGACACCACAGCCACACAACGGCCAAAACAAACAAAATGAAGGTACAGGAAAGGCCCGCACGGCGACCAAAAAAGGTGCAGGGGGGAAAGGCGCCACGCAGCGACCAAAATGACAAAGGAAAGGCACCATACAATGAACAAAAATGAAGATGCAGGAAATTACACAGCGACCACCAATGAAGGCACAAAAAAGGCACCACACAGCAACCAAAAATAAAGGCACAGGACCCTAAACCCTAAACCCTGAACCCTAAATCGCAAACCGTAAACCCTAAACCCTAAACCCTGAACCCTAAACCCAACCCAAAACCCAAAATCCCCATGCCCGACACCAAACGCCTACAAACAGCGGGGTCCTTGCGAGGCCGGCCACCACAGCTGCCATGTCGGCATCCTCGCCCACACGACCCAGCGCCTTCCTTCGGAACACGAGGCTAAGGGGCCCACCCATTCCCGGTTTAGGGTTTAGGGTTTAGGGTTTAGGGTTTAGGGTTTAGGGTTTAGGGTTTAGGGTTTAGGGTTTTGGGAGCCACTAAACGCTGTCAGATGGATTCGTTTTCAGGGTCTTCTTCCAAGTTTTGTAGCTGGGAGGAAGCCTCGTGTCAGACTGAACCCCTGCTGCATTCTCTTCGATGTAAGCCAAGCCAGAACCCAGAAGAACCTGCATTCCCAAACATCCCGACACTCTACTTGGAGGTTCATGGGTAGTGATAAGTGAGGATATAAGAAAGGTAACTATAGCTCTCACTGGTTACAACTTTATTTAGGGTACTTGCAAACCCCACTCAGAACTACTCATGAACCTCCAAGTACGGCGTGTGACCAGGGCTTCGCAGTTTCAGGTTTGGGAAGCCAAGCGTCCTAAACCCTAAACCCTAAACCCTAAACCCTAAACCCTAAACCCTAAACCCTAAACCCTAAACCCTAAACCCTAAACCCTAAACCCTAAACCCAAACCCTAAACCCTAAACCCTAAACCCTAAACCCTAAGCCAAGCATCACAATGTCGTCATGCCCTGCCCCAACGCTGAAGCGCACATCGGTGTTGTTGTGACCGGAACAGCAGGTGCTGCCCATGGCTGCAGACACTGACACCCTAAACCCTAAACCCTAAACCCTAAAGTGAGCAACAGGCGGAAACCCAATCCGGAGAGCAAAATCGGGGGAGCTAAGAGACATGCCCCTAAACCCTATATCTTGTTAAGGCGGCCTTAAGTTGCTGAACAGGGGCAGGGGCATGACGCGCATAAACTCTCAACCCTAACAGCTCTACAGAACTGTCTAGGGGCTGTAGTTTCCTGGTTTTTCCCGCTTTTTGTGGAAAATGCATCCCAGCATTGTCTTCTTGGCTTGACCCAGGGCATGGGCATGCCGCCGATGGAGACCGGAAGTTCTACAAAGGCTCAGGATTTAATGCCCTTCATTGACGGCACTGCTAGCGATCTTCTGTTGCGCCCGAAAATTTGTGGTACATTGTAATGTTGAAGCCTGATGGAAATGAGCTTCTGCTACATGCACTTCGGAATTTACCAAAATAGTGGAACCCCTTCATACAACTAACCAGAAGCAGCTTCAAGAGGGACCCCCCCAAGTGGACCACCGCCAACATCAGATTCCCCCCTTGGCTTTACTCACAATATCCTGTTATGGTCCCTATACCGTTGTACTATAATGACCGCCAAAACCGCATTATTAAGGTCCCTATGGTAGGTTCGCAGAGCCGCACCCAAATCCTGAAGACCCTTACAATCCATAAACCAGGGGCCAAAAAAACCCAAAATGCCTGAACACACCAGAACGCCTGCAAACCCTAGGTCCTTCTTGTGCTAACAGTCCTTCATGCGGATTATCATAGGCTACTATAATCCCTATTGAGGACTGTTCGTATAAGGGGGGACATCCCAACCCTATGAACCCTGTGCATCCTATAAACAGGATCCCGGCCAGATCGCTGAGTAGGGCTCGCCTTAGCTCCGCGGTTGGTTGGAATCTAGAGGTTCGGGTCGTCGTGGTTTGGGGTCTAGGGTCAGGGTTTAGGGTTTAGGGTCTAGGGTTTAGGGTTTAGGGTTTAGGGTTTAAGGTTTAGGGTTCAGGGTGCAGGGTTCAGTGTCTACAGGGGACAACGTTTTGGTGTTTGGGCATCAGGCCAGGGAAGTTTCTGCGGAGTTCAAAAGAAGCTTTCGAGGGCTGAAAGTCCAAACCCTGCAAGATGTTTAGGGTTTAGGGTTTTAGGGTTTTAGGGTTTAGGGTTTAGGGTTTAGGGTTTAGGGTTTAGGGTTTAGGGTTTAGGGGTTTACGGGCTTAGGGGCTTAGGGGTTTAGGGGTTTAGGGTTTAGGGCGTAGCCTAACTTTAGAGCAAGTACTTAAATTTGAGGCCCAGGCACTCCCTGTTTAGGTACATGGACCCTTAGGAGTAGCTACTATTTGCCTAAAGCCCCCGCCGCCCCCCCCCCCCCACCACCACAAAAAAAAAACAACAACAATATTCCTTATAGGGATGAATCTTCCATTTTGGTGCGGGGTTTGAGGCAAAGAGCAAATTGGGAGAGCCCCCTTTCTTCTCTCCGATAGCGCCGGCGCTCTTTGCACATGGCTTTCAAATATATTTTGCTGAACGAGGGACTAAAGGAGGGACCCTTTCAAGGGACCTTAGGGGTTCTTAGGGTTTCTTAGGGGCTAATAGGTATATAGGGACGATATAAGGTATATATAATATATGTGGGGGTTCTATGGGGGATAAGATTAAGGGTCCCTTCTAGGGGTCCCTCCTTGTACCCATTTAAGCTGAACTGAAGGCAGGGTCAGCGGCGGGCGATGTCTGAAATACTCTACGAGGTCTCGCAGAGAGCTTGAAGCGGCTACCTTCCCCTCCTCCCTCAATAACCTTCCAGGTTGGACAACCCTAAACCCTAAACCCTAAACCCAGACCGGAACCCTAAAACCTAAACCCAACCTAAACCCAAACCCAAACATAAACCCTAAACCCTAAACCCTAAAACCTAAACCTAAACCCTAGCCTCCACGGGTTGACTTCCCCAAAGGGCCTGAACCTCGCCGTATCTCCTGATAGAGATGGCATGTAGCAGGCGTCAAGCTGCTGTGGACCTGTCTCTCACTTTCTAGGGTTTAGGGTTAAGGGTTTTTTTGTTTAGGGTTTAGGGTTTTAGGTTTAGGGTTTAGGGTTTAGGTTTAGGGTTTAGGGTTTAGGGTTTAGGGTTTTAGGGTTTAGGGTTTAGGGTTTAGGGTTTAGGGGTTTAGGGTTAGGGTTTAGGGTTCGGGTTTGTTTAGGGCAACACCCTCATTTTACAACAAAGACCAAAACACCGATTTCCGCGGCTAAAGCCAGCGCTGAGATAAGAGCACGATTGTATGCAAACGAATGCCTACAGCCCCCGTAGTGTTGACGCGGCGCTTCTGCAAGGCCCACCCATTTCACAAAACAAGCCGAAATACTCAGGTAGTTCCACATAGCCTTTCATACCCCTGTCACACAAGATGATGGGACCAACCCTAAAACCCTAAACCCTAAACCTAAACCCCTGGTTTAGGAGAAGCTTGGAAGCTAGTCACTAAACCCCGCGAAGCGGCCAACATGCCGACATCTTCTCGCGTTCTGTGGGGCTTCGGTCGTGGGCTTTTGGAGGGGGAGTTTTCCTGAGTGGGAGACTTGGGCCTCGGCCTGGGCCTTTTCTTCTGGGTTTAGGGTTTAGGGTTTAGGGTTGAGGGTTGAGGGTTGAGGGTTCAGGGTTTAGGGTTAGGGTTTAGGGTTTAGGGTTTAGGGTTCAGGGTGGAGTTGGGGCGGGTGGGGTTGGGGTTTAAGGTGTAGGGATGTTAAGCACCTTTCACTTCTTAGCAAGGTTTGCCCTGCTGTTTGGCTGTCCTGTATTTAGGCACTGCATAGCCTGAACCGATGCCCTGCTCTGCGCCCCCCGAATCTCAAAAGAAGCCAGGTGTGAACCCCAGCCTATGAAGTCACCTTGCATGAGCCTTTGCTTCTTTGAGGGAGGGAGGAGAGGGGGAGGGGGGGGGGGGGGTACTACTACAGAATGAGGACACCGGGAATGGCGGCTCTCTCCTCCAAGCGCCCAGACGCAACGAGCCACCAACAACAAGCGGATGGCGGATGACAAGCTGTGGACTGCTTTACATTCGGTTCACTCGTATATGTACTGTAAGATTATGTCTCTCTTTGAGGGAGTGCCCAAAGAACCATAAAGCAGAACACCCACAGCTGTCTAGCGGATATATTTCTCCCGCGGCTCTGAAAGTCTGTCGGCATAGGGTCTATAAGGTTCAGGGCAATTTGAAGACTCAAAACCTAATACATTCAAAGGATCCATGTACCTTATTATCATATACTTGGAAATACATTAAAAGGATCACTGCACACCTGAGAACCTCAGGAGCTTGGCTGGCAGTGCGGCAGTGCCTTGGGCACTGCACTGTCCAACCTGACATATGGGTGCTTGTCAACATCATGGTCCCTTCTTGGATCCCTACTGTAATATGGTACCTAATATTTAGGGTACCCCAAAAGGGATCAGAATTTTGACAACCACCCTGGCCTGGCAGAGCCCTGGGCTCTTCAGCACCCTCGAGGCAGGTCGGTGTGGTGGGTGGGGGTTTAGGTTGAGGACTTCCGGGGGGTTTCGGATTCCGGTCGTTGAAGAATTTTTCCAAGCCTCAGAGCCCGGTCAGAATCCCATCACGCATGATAACTTGTGAACCCCCAACTAGGCTGCCCAGTAACCTAGGCTTAAAAAGGGGTGCCCTTTTTTGCTTAAAGGGGTTTATGAGGGAACCTAAACCCCCCAAAAAAGTGAATAAGGGCACTACTGGGCATCCTAGCCAACTATCACTACTATGCCAAGGCTCGGAGGTACTTCTTGGCCCCCGACGCAACGGTTGAATTGTGTTTGCGGGAGGACGGGTCTACGTTTGTCTACACACGATTAAATGAAACAGACACTCTAGGTACGTCTGAAGACAGATATGGCACATGCGCGGCCGAATCCTCACTAGACCTTAAACCACAAACCCTGAAACCTCAACCATCGGGAAAACCACAAACCTGAAACCTCAACCATCGGGAAATACACGGAGCCGCTCAATCGTACTCCTTGTTTTTCTTACCGTCGCTTCGGCGGGGTTGTGTTGCACATGTTCTTTGGACTCACCTGCCTGCCTTTTGGGAATATTCGAGTTTAGGGCTTGGGACTAGGCTGCCCAGTAACCTAGGCTTAAAAAGGGTGCCCTTTTTTGCTTAAAGGGGTTCATAAGGGAACCTAAACCCCCAAAAAAGGGAATAAGGGTACTACTGGACATCCCAGCCTAGTTCCTGGCACCAATCTGCTGCTCGATTTGCTGGGTCTGAGCTTCGTCTTGCCGAAGGGCGATGGGTCGGCTCGGACGTAGACGGCCCAAAGAGCCCAATACCCTGGGTTTAGGCGGTTTAAGGTTTGGGGTTTAGGGTTTAGGGTTTATAGACCATACTAAGGATCCCAGATATGATTTAAGGCCGAATCCCTTATTCAAGGGGCAGTGAGCTCTTTTGGGAGCATGGTCCCAGTGCCATCTTGCCCTCTGGCATTGAAATCGGGTTTCAAAGGGGGGGGCGCGCGGCTGTTTAGGGTTTAGGGTTTAGGGTTTAGGGTTTAGGGTTTAGGGTTTAGGGTTGAGGGTTTAGGGCTGAGGGTTGAGGGTTGAGGGTCTCGAACACCGACTCGTTGCTTCTCAGACTCACGACATGAGGGTTTCCGAAAATAGGGATACTTTTTTTTGTTTTTTAATTTAAGGGGTCCCTTACAGGAAATTCTAATTCTGTTTTGGGGAGAAAAAGGGGGAAGCGCCCACATACTATTCTAAAAAAACTGGGTGTGACCTTATTTAAAGGTACTTGCAACCCGACTTGTAACTACCCACGAACACCTTCTCAAGTACCAGGGGACTGTCTCAGCTCCACAGAAACAGGGGCACGTGGGACAGATAGGGCAAAACACATCAGGTGTAGCTACGAATATCTCGAGGACCCCCACGACAGAAGCCTAACACTTGGGACTTGGGATGTTCCCCCCTTA